TTATTCCCTGTTTACAGCCTAGATTTAAAAAGGCATTCATAGTAATTTCACTCACCTGTAAGCCTGTCCTTCTTGCTGATTTATTGCTCACACCTAGCCTGGTGCCCCCACATACAACATGTTACTTATTAAACAGGGCTTGAATGAGGGACTGAAAAGTTTTTTGCAAAGTGTAGGAGTGTCCCCTCCAGTGACATCTGGCCCCTTTCTGTGAAGCTACCAGGTGTGGCTTATGTGGAATTTGTTCTGAAGTGAATTCTTTAAAGGAAGCAGGAGAAATGCCCTGGCTTTTTCTTTTTCAGTTTGTTTTCCAGGAAAGTGTTGAAATCTGCAGTGAGTGAAAGAACAGATTTTGGATTCATTTTAGAAAAATCATCATAAAGGAAAAAGTCAGCGTCTTTAGAATTGAAGCTTCCTAAAAAAAGATCACATGCCTTGGTTTATTGTAAGTGATGTGATTTGATTTCCTTGGGGAGGGGCGCCCAGGAGAGGGTAGGGCCTGCACTTTAGAGGCCTGGCTGCAGGTGCACTAGATGTGGGATGGGGGCGTGCAGGGTCCTGCAGCCTTGGGCTTCCACAGATGGCTGTGTCTATATGGCCATGTGTCCATCTGTTTACTAGGGATTAGTTGAGCACCTACTACGTTCCCGGGTCTGCTGTGCTCTGAAGACAGGCAATGGGGAGCCACAACCACAGTGCACACCTTCTTGGAATTTACTGTCTGGCTGGGGAGACAGCCCCACAGTTGTAAAAGTTTACGACTCTGAAGAATGGTACAACGAGGGGTACATCGTCCTCTGGGAGGACAAACCTGGAGGAAAGTCAGGGAGGGCTTCCCTGCAGAGGTGAGGCTCGGACTGAACCTTGATATCTGGATGGTAGTTCAGTAGGTGGACTGAAGTGGATCTGGCATGGGCAAAGGTCCTGGGGTGAGAGCTTGGCTCCTCTGAGGGACTGAGGAAGGTCAGAGAAAGCAGCATGCTAGAGAGCTGTTGGATGAGGCTGAGGAGGTGGGCAGGGCCTGGTGGCTGTGGTAATAATGACTTTGGCCTTGACCAAATGGCAACAGGAAGCCAGGGGAGTGTTTTAAGCAAGATGTTGGGACCAGGCTGTGCTGTGCAAGGCCCTCTAGAGACGTTGCAGTGGCTGCAGAGCTGTCTTGTGGGTGGCTCAGTTTCCCCCTCCCTCCCTGCCCTGCTCCCTCTCTGTTCGACTTCCAGCCATGCCTGCCATTCTTAAACGGGGCCCAGGAGGTCCTGTCTGCACATCAGCCCATGAGTTCTCTGGACGTGGAATCTGTAGTATCTCTTTTCTGCATTTCTGCCAGTGAGACCAGAGTTGTCTTTTCCAGACCCGCAGAAATGCTGACCTCCTCCCCTAAGCCCTCCCAGTGGCGCCCTCACCCCGGGCAGCTGCCCCCGCAGGATTTAACCTCCCGTCTCCCCTCTGGTTTCATCTACTGGGTGGGGAAAATGACTTCTGCCTCATTAGGTGGTTTTGCGGATGCAGGGATCCAGCCCCTGTGAACAGCTCAGAAGCGGGCCGGGAGCAGAGAAGAGCTGCAGAAATGTGCCCGATTCTGCCCACCGGGCTGACAGCATGTGCCTGGGGCACCAAAACTTTTTCGGCAAGAATATGATGTTTCAAAATAGGCGTTGGAATGTTGTCATCACGAGAAAAGTCAGGGCTCCCCTGGATTTCCTGATGCTATTGAATGTTTAGGTTTGCTTTTCTTCATGTGACATCTCAGTGCTTAGAGCTGCCAGGGGACCCATCATCTGGCCTGTCCCCGCATCTCACAGAGGGGACCCTGGGCTCAGAGAGGGCGGCCCCGGGGGCGGGGGTCATCCACATCCCCGTCTGCTGGTCAGAGTAGACCAATCAGCCCCCACCGGCCTTCCCCTTGACCTGAGGGTCCCTGCTTGGGGGGCCTGGTCTGGGGCCTACAGCTGGTGTGGGGCAGACGGTAAGAGGCTCCTGCACAGACGTGAGTTTCTTTCCATCTCTGCACTTCCCTGAATAGGTGTTCCGGCCCCTGGATGGGGGATCAGTTGCCCAATTTGGAGGAGCCACTGGGTGCAAGGGGGCATGACGTCCCAGCCCTGGGGACACACCAGGCCCGGGAAGGACGCTGCTGTAGGTCTTGAGTCACAGGATCCCCCCGTCGAGGGTGACCTCGCTGACCTTATGGGGGCCCTGGTAGCTCCTTGCTCACCCCGGGTTTATGTAACATGGTGTTTCCCAACTGTCCTCAGAGCCACCCTGTGACATAAGCAGACGTGCACCGCCGTCTGCTGCAGTGGCCGGAGCTGGCCAGCATCATCCACTGCATTACGCTGACCATCCTGGAAGGTGGTGTTTGCCACTGTGTTTTTAAAAATTGAGATACTGTTCACAAACCATCAAATGCATTAAAGTGGAGTGTTCAGTAGTTTTTAATTTAATTTAATTTTAAAAATTAATTAATTTTAATGGAGGCACTGAGGATTGATCCCAGGACCTCATACATTCTAAGCATGTGCCCTACCACGCGTAGCATGTTTTTTAGTGCACTCACAAGATTGTGCAGCCATCTAATTCAAAAACAGTTTCATCTCCCCCAAGCTCTATACCTGTAAGTTCTCCCCACTCATCCGCAGATCCCCCACCCCCTGGCAACCACAAGTCTACTTTTTGTCTCTATGGATTTACCTGTTCTGGACATTTCATACACACAGAATCCCACGTGGCCTTTTGTGATTGGCTTCTTTCACGTAGCGTAACGATTTGGGGTTCGTCCACATTGCAGCACGTATCAGGACCGCATTCCTTTTTATGGCTGAGTAATAATCTACTGTATGGATAGACCACATGTTTTAACCCATTACCTGTTGATGGACATTTGGGTTGCGTCTATGTTTTGGCTGTTGTGAATAAATGCTGCTGTGAACATTTGCATGCAAGCTTTTGTGTGAATATGTTTTCAGTTCTCTTGGACCTATACCTGGGAATGGAATCGTTGGTTGTATGACCTTTCTATATTCACCGTTTAAGGAACAGACATACTTTTTTTCAAAGTGGCTGCACCATTTTACATTCCCACCAGCAGTATATAAGGCTTCCAATTTCTCCACGTGCTCTCCAACACTTGTTATTGTCTGTCTTTGATTATAGCCACCCTGGTGGGTATAAAGTGGGATCTCATAGTTTTAGTTTTTGTTTTTGTTTTTAAGTGGCAGTACTGGGTATTGAACCCAGGACCTCGTGCATGCTAAGCACACGCTTTACCACTGAGCTCTAACCCCCGACCCTGTCTCCTAGTTGGCTAATGAGACGGATCATCTTTTCATGTCCTTATTGGCCCTTTGTGTCTGGTTTGGAGAACTGTATATTCACATCAATTGCCCATTTGAAAGTGGATTGTTGGTCTATTAATTGTTAAGTCGTGGCTCTGTGGTCTACAGAGGGGAAACTGAGGCTCAGAAAGGGGGTGTGACTGGCTGGGCCAAGAACACTGGGCCCTCAAGCAGACTGAGACCAGAACCTGGTCTCTGCATGTCTCTCCACCTGGTCCAGTGGCCTCCAGCCTCTGGTGCTGACCTGCCCCTTGGGCCGCACCAAATCCTGCCCTTGAGTTGAAAGGGGGAGGGCTCCCCAGCCAGAGGGTGGGCCAGAAAGACGAGGAAGCAGTAGTTCTGAGGAACCAAGCTGGCCCTCTCTTCCCCTCTGGATCACGCGGACCTGGCTGACGTGGCCCAGCGAGAGGGGACAGCCTGGGCGCTGTGGTCAGGAGCCTATTTATACTGGCTGGGCCGTGTTGCAAGCTCTTCCTGCTGGCGAGAGGGACGTCACTGGGTGCTGACCTCACCAGAAACGCTGACGCATCTTTGCTCGGATGGGCTGTCGGGCCTCCTCACCTGTTGGGCCACTCCATGTCCTCCTGCGCATCACCCAGCTCCGGATTGTCCCCTAGTGACCCCTGCAGCCCTTGACCATGCCCTCCCTCCTCTTGCAAGCGGTTATGGGCTGAATTGTGTCCCTTGAATTCATATGTTGAAGTCACCAACCCCTGCCCCTCAGAATGTGACTGTATTTGGAGATAGAGCCTTGAAAGGGGTGATTAAGGTAAAATGAGGCCATTGGGTGGGCCCCGGTCCAATGTAACTGGTGTCCTTATAAGAAGAGGAGATTAGGACACAGATGCACACAGAGGAATGACCGTGTGAGGAGACAGCGAGAAGGCGGCCATCTATCAGCCAAGGAGAGAGGCCTCGGGATGAAACCAACCCTGCCAACACCTTGTTATCAACTTCTGCTCCAGAACAGTGAGAAAACACCTGTCATTTAAGCCCCCAGGTCTGTGGTATTTGGTTATGGCAGCCCACGTTTAAAGCCACATGCTCAGAGTGAGGTCTTTCAGATTTGACAGCCCTTGTTTGATGCCCTGGCTCCTCTTAAATGTTCCTAAGAAGGGCAACCTCGGGGAAGACAACCTTAATGTCTCTGGGCCTTGGAGGCCTCTTTAAACCAAGGAGACCATGAGGCCTCCCTGGACCGTGGGGTGAAAGCACAGGGCTGTCCCCCAAGTGAGGAGGGGAGCTCCTGAGAGGGGTGCAAAGCTCTCAGCCAGACCGGACTCTCCTGCCAGGAGCCCGGCTCCGAGCTTCTCTGAGCTTCTGTCTCCTCGTCAAAGGAGCCGAGGCATCCCTGCACGGCCGCTCTTCCTCCTGGGAGTGTAGCTAGATGAGATCAGGGATGTGAAATGAAGAAGGATCCCAGCCTGACCCAGACTCCAGGAAGCAGCCTTGCGGGGGTGGGCACCGAGATGAGGAATTGAGCGGAAGCGACATTCTCAGCAGGAAAATCCAGAACTGGGCCCCAAGGGTGGCGCTGGTGCTGTGATCACAATGCTGGTTGCCAGGATCACAATGCTGGTGGAGGGTGGGGGGTGGTGAGGAGAAGCCTCCTGGGCATGGTGGTGCCTCTGGTTTGCCCACTGCTAGATCCTCAGCACCTGGGAGTGGCTGGCAAAGAGCGGGGCCAAATAAGTTTGTTGATCGAATACATGAGTGATGTGGGCACAGCAGAGGGGAGATGGGGTGGGAAGGCCTTGGTGGTGATGATGGGTGCTGGGGTGGGGATGGACGGGAGCGGGGCTGGCGTCCTCCTTCTGGCTGCATCGGCTTTACTCGTCGAGCCTCCACAGGGCCAGAGCAGCTCAGGCACCCCCCAGCAGCCTCCAGGGGCCCCACTCTGCCTCCTCAGCCTTTGACACCCCGAGCTCCTCTGGATGCAGGCCAAGGACCCTTGTCCAGGTTTCAGGGGGTGTGCTGGGGCTGCCAGGCCCAGCATGCAGGCCTCCACCTCCTCATCCACCCTCTCCTGAGCCTCAGTTTATCCTACAGAAAGCAGCAGGTTGGCTGGGGAGGCGCTGTCTCCAGGGCCCCTTCATTCTGATGTCTGTGAGCAGCAGAGGACCGACCGAAGATCACTATCTTTCAGAGAAAGTGAAACCTGGTCCCCAACCGTCACCGCGGCAACTCCCCCTCTCTGGCTTCCCCTCTGAGCTCACAGCTTCCCCATCTCCTCTGCCTCCCACCCCGCCCCCCGACAGCTAGTACGTGGAATCAGACTTTCATCTTTGCTTTTTCCTTCAAAGGCTCCTGCCTTTTATGTCCATGACGGCAGCAGCCCTGTGAGGTGTCCGAGAAACGCTTTTCAAATCCTCATTTTACAGGTGGGGGCCTCTGAAGTCCAGAGAGGTTAAGCGACTTGCTTTGGGTCACACAGCATGTCAGTGGGCTTGACCCCTGGTCTCCTGTTTCTCTTGCCCCAAGTGCTTGGTTCTCCTTAGAGGATCCTGTCTGTAGAGAGAGGGCCTGGCTGTGGGCGATGGGCCTGGGATGGAGAAGGCTGGTTGTGTGAAGGCTGCCTCATGAGGAAAAAAGATGGCTGGGAGCCCTGATGGGGGATGCAGGTCCTGGGGCCAGACCACAATCTCGGGGCTGCCAGCCTGGGTCTGGCTCTGTGCCCAGAGCCCGGTGGTTTCCGCTCACAGATGTCCCAACAGCCCTGGCGAGAGGGCGGGAAGGGCACTCAAGAAGGAAGATGTCTCGCTCCCTCAGCCCCAAACCACAGTGGCCTGTGAGGCCAATGACTCCTGGGCCAGGCCGGGGCAGCAGGACCTCTGGGGGCCCAGCTGGTGGGCTCTCCCCTCCATCCCTGCACAGCCCCCTGCAGCAGGCACGGACCCCTTGCTCCCTGCTCGCCCAGGAAGGCTGAGGCTGCGGTTTGCATCATCCTTGGGCGTAGGGCTGACCTCGAAGAACGAATTCGAAGAAAAGAGGAGGAGGAGCAGGCATGCCACCGCAACCCGCGCCCATTGGCCGCCTGTGGAAACTTTGGTTTTTGGGGTCATGTTCCCAGAAGGCCTGCCCTCCCCCCACCCCCTCCCCACCCACCTCACGAGGTGTTGGCCAATCGCCCTGGCGGGCATAAAGTGGCTGCCAGCCCGCAGGGCTCCCAGCCGGGAGGTGTCACCCCCAGCAGGCGCGGGCCCGAGCTCGGTCAGCCAGCATGCGGCCACAGCTTGTGCAGAGGACCCTGCTCAGTAAGTACTTCCTTCCTTCCCGCCAGCACCTGCTTGCCGTGCTCACAGGCACCAATGGGGAGCAGGGCCGCCCTCTGTCCTCTGGGAACTGGGGAGGCCAGGCACTAGGCAGAAGGATGCTGAGCCGGGGAGAGAGCCAGGGGTCAGGCAAAGACAGGGGTCCACTGAGAACACAGCATCTTCACAGAGTGGAGAAGGGTATCCCTGGAGGGTTTCCAGGGTGAGGTGATGAAGGGTCCACTCTGGGAGCAAGGGAGTGAGGGAAGGGGCTCCGCTTGGGGAGAAGCCAGGGAAGCAGGAAAGGGGTAGGAGATGTGCTGGGGCAGAGGAGGAAGCCACAGAAGTTGAGTGGGAACATGGTGTGATGTCTGGAGGGGTTGCGGGACCTCCTTCTTGCCCTGATTCGCTGGCTCTGGGATGGTTGGACGCAGTCAGCTGGGCCCGGGGGTTCTGGAGCCCACACAATCACACAGCACACATAGCCACACCCACAGGGTGACATGCACACAGAGCCACGTGATGTCATCGGGAGCCCTCAATCTCACCAATCTGGGAACCCCCACGTGCAGCCCGGGGCCCCTGTGGTGGATGGGACACAACGGCTGTGTGTAGCCAGCTCTTCCCTCGAGCCTCACACAGCCCCAGACGCACATCCCTGCAGGCACCCCAGTCCCACATGCGCTGTGCTCACCCCCGCCCTGCCCAAACCCAGCAGCTGGTACCTGGGGAGGCAAAGAGGGGTGCTTTGTGGTTACCGTGCTTGGGCGCCCAGCTCCACGGCTTCCCCAGCAGTGTCTTCCCCAAGGGGCCATGGCTCTTAGGAAGGGAACATGGTGTCACTGCCTTCCGGGCCATTGCGCCACAGGCCCTTCCGACCACGTGGCTGCCGGTGCCCGGTGGGTGAGTGGTGGGGGGAGGCGGCAAGTGGTGACTGCGCCTGACCCCCAGAAGGGTCAGACTCACAGCATCTCTGGTGGGCCTGACAGAAGTGGCCACTCATGTGGAGAGGAGAGAGGCGTGAGAAGTCGGGGGACAGGCCAGCCTTAGGTGACCTGAGCAAGCCCTCCTCCTTTGGTGCCTTGGTTTTCCTGTCAATAAAATGGGGCATAGACTTGATTCCACACACATCCTTTCCAGACGGAACCTCTGGGTGGAAAGGCAGCCTCCCTTGTTTCTGCAAACATAGCTCAGGGCACAAGGCTGCTCCTGGGCTGCAAAGCTCTCCAGAGCCCACCTGCACGGGCGGCCCAGGGGCCTGCAGCAATGGCCACCCCTTAGCCCAGAGGTCTGGAGGGGAGCAGCCCCAGCTGGGCTGCCCTGTGGTCGACAGGCTTGGCTCCAGCCGGACCCCACCACCTCTTCTCAAAGGCCTGCTCGGTGAATTGCCGCTGCTGGGTCGGGTGCTGGGCACTGACTCACTGGAAAGGTGGTGGTGGCCCCGGGAGGTGCTCCCAGGCAGGCCCACAGGGCACCACGACCTGCATCCTCTGAGGCCCTCTTGAGCACCCTCCCCTCCGAAAGCCACCCACCTGTGGCTTCCTCACCAAATCAAGTGACATGTCCCCTCTCTGCCCCAGGTCTGGTCCTCGGACTCCTGTTCCTGAGCACGGCAGCCACTGGCAAGTGCTCAGGCAAGTACCATGAGCTCCTCCAGCAGCTCCAGAATCAGGCGGACCTCATGCAGGACACCAGCACACTCCTGGACCCCTACGTGAGTGCTCAGGCCCCTGAGTCTCAGAGAACTGCGGGGTTAGGGCAGGAGCGAGCCCGGGAGAAAACCAGGCCCATCCCCCACTCAATATGGGGCTGGTGGGGAAACCAAGTCCCCATGTTACTTTAGGACCATGTTGAACGTTCCAGGCCTGAACCTGAGATGCCTGGGAGACAAGGCAGCTTCCCCAGCTCAGTGGGCCTGGAATGTGACCCCCCAACTCCATCACATCATTTATCCCTTTGCCCAGTGTGCTCATTGCACACCTACCATGCGCCTTGTTCTAGGCACCAGGACGTAGTGGTGAACAAAACAGCCCTGCCCTCCTGAGTTCCCGTCACCTCCCCACCGAAATGCCCCATGCCACAACCACCGCCTGTGTGGTCACCCCCTCCAACCCCCAGTATCCCTCTGACCCTGCCTGCCATGACCCAGGAGTCCTCTCCCTTCTGGGGCCTCAGTTTCTGGCTCTGGACAATGGGAGGATTGGATAGGGAATGCATGAGGTCAAGCGTTTCAAGGCTGACTGGAGCGGACACGTGTGTGTGTGTGTGTGTGTGTGTGTGGTGGGGGCTCCAGCACTCATCTCCCCGATTGTCCTTCCCCCTCCAGATCCACTTGCAAGGCCTGGATCAGGCTGGACTGAAGGAGCACTGCAAGGAGAGCCCCGGGGCCTTTCCCAGCGAAGATGCCCTGCGGGGGCTCAGCCAGCGGGGCTTCTTGCGGACCCTCAATGCCACGCTGGGCCACGTCCTGCACAGACTGACTGCTTTACAGCAGGATCTCACCGTAGCCCGGGAGCAGGGGCGGAACATTCGCGGCTTCAGAAGTAACATCCACTGCATGTCCCAGCTGCTTCGAGGCTCCTCGGAGATGGAGACAGCTGAGCCCACTCAGCCGGGCCCGGGGGCCACACTGCCACCCACCCCCGTCTCAGACACCTTTCAGCACAAACTGCAAGGCTGCAGGTTCCTGCATGGCTACCACCGCTTCATGCACTCGGCGAGGCAGGTCTTCAAGGAGTGGGGGGATAGCCGGTGCCGGAGTCGGAGCCGGAGACATAGGCCCCCCCGGGCTCTACAGAGGGGGGCCCGCAGGATGCGACCCTTCAGGAGGGATGAGAGACTCATGCCCAGGGGCCAGCTGCCCCGGTAGCCTCAGGGGCGCCCCTGCCAGGTGAAAGGTCAGCAGGTACTCTGCTGGATGGTGCTGCCTGGGGTCTCCCAACCTGCTCCTCTCCGTTCCCCACCTCTCAGAAGTGCACTTTAAGGGGTGGGGGCTGGGTAGCCCCTCTACCTCCTTTGGGCTGGGTGGACAGGGTCAGGCTGCTGAGCCTTGTCCAGCCCTGAGTTCCCCAGCCCTGGTGGGGTGGCCAGGTCAGGTCCACACGGGGCCAACTTTCCATTGATTCAGGGGTCTGATGACACAGGCTGACTCATGGCCAGACTGGCTGCCCCCCCTGCTCTGCTCCCCGGAGGCCGACCGGATTGTCCCTCTCATGACTTGTGGGGCTGTTGCCCCCAGACTTCCTCCTTTCCATAGTGGCTTGGTTCGGAGGGGGAGGTCAGGGCCTGAGCTGGCCTCCTCTGCCTCATCACTGCTCTCAGCCAGACACCTGGGTGTCTGGGTGACCTCACTTTAGGCAGTTGTGATGGGAGCAGAGGACACAGAAGGAGCACTGATCTGGGGGTTCCAAGGAAGGAGGCTCAGACCCCAATTTGTTGGCCCCTAAATTGCTGTGTAGCCTCAGTGAGGCCACTTTACCTCTCTGGACCTCAGCTTTCTCTTTGTGATTCAAGGGGGTTTGGGACATGTAAATCCATCTCTGCCTGTCAATTGCTGGGATTCTGTGACATAGGTTAGATATCAAATTTTCTCCATACATGGGGACATGTGATATAAACGGACACTGGGTACAGACTTGAGTTCTTTGCAGGAGACCTCCTAGAGCCTGGAAGTCTGGATCCTGGGTCCTGGCTGCTCCCCCTGGTGGTGCATCATGGTATTTTCTCATGCTGAAACCATTGCCCTCTGGGAGGGGGTCCCAGAAGCTGCTGGGCCAGTTCCTTGGAGGGACATGACTAATTTATAGATTTTTATTAGTTTTTATCTGTTTATCCTATTTATAAGGCTTATTTATGATGTGTATTTAATGTTAATATTTTGCCAACATATATTTAAAACTTGCCTGGTTTCTAAAGCCCTTGTGTCTCTGTTGCTTCTTGGGAGAGAATTTGGGGGAGCCTGGTCTCTTGGAGAGGGGAGTCCCTAGGTGGCAAGGCCACCAGTATCCACCACTGAAGCTTGGGCTGGGGTTCTTTGCTGTAACCGAGAAGAGAAGTTGCATGCCCCACTCAACTGGGGGTTCTGACTGTGGGGGTGTCTCTGAATGGGTCTCCCTTGAGAAGTTGGGGACCAAGGATGTTGAGTTTTGGGAGCTAGTGGGGAGGGAGGAAGGATGGCGTGTGGGTTACTCTGGCCCTTGTGGGTGAGCGGCTGAGGGTAAATGTGCTGATGCGTGTTGTGTGAAATGAACAAGATAATAACAGATCCTGCCTCAGATGTGGCCTGCTGGCCTGCTGTGTGCTTGAAACTGCTTCCTGAAGGGCCCCAGAGTGGGCAGGGATTCCATCTGGCTCACCACTGATGCTCAGGGCCCCGCCTCAGGAGGGGCACCTACAGGCCGATGACATGCTGAGGCAGCAGCTACAAAGGAAGGGCTCAAAGAAGCAGATGAACTTGACCTGGATCAGTCCCCAGTCACCCCCACTTCCTGGGACGAGGGGCCATGGTGGGAACAGGACTTAACTTCAGGCTGGAAGAGAGTCCTGTGCGGGACTCCCCGAAATAGATATGACCCACTTTGCAGATGAGAGGACTGAGGCTCAGAGAGTTTGAACTGCCCAGGTCCTCAGAGCAAATTTACTGGGCACAGGCACATTTCGAATTCAGGCCCATTGGATGCCAGGGAGGGAGCATCCTCCTGTCACCTTTCAACATCTGTAACTTGGCTGACAATTTCACGAGTCCTTGGGGGCACAGAGCTACCAGGCGGTGGGGGTGGGGACAGACAATAGACAAGCGAAAGAGATAGGAGCAACTGAGATTGCAGGGCGAGCTTGAGCACGGGAAAAGCAAACCAGGGTGAGGAAATAGAGAGCAAGAGTCAGGCGATGTGGGTGGTCAGGGTGGCCTGGAAGAGGTGACATCCACTCTGCAGCCTGAATGACATGCAGGAGAAGGGGTGGAGCCTCTAGGTGGCAGGAACAGCTAAGGAAAAGTCTGAGCATTCAAGGATCAGGGTGTAGCGAATGAGGGCATCACCGATTTATCAAAAAGGCCCAGAGATGGGAAGTATCTTGCTCAAGGTCACAGAGCAAGTTAGTGCGGGGCTGGGGCTAGAAATCCAGGTCTGACTCCCAGCCAGGGAGCGCCCCATGTATTCCAGGCTGTTTACTGAGTATTTAGTCAGGGCTCTCCGCTGCCCCCCACTGGGCTCTCTCTTGCTTTCGGGCTCCTGCCGCACCAGCCACTTTGGGGATCCGATGTGCCCAGGGTACCCTCCTACCACAAGGCCTCTGCCTGTGCTGTTCTCTTCCCAGCCTTTGTGCTCCATCTTTTTGGTTAGTGTATCCTCAGTTATCCTTCCCGCTGTCCATGTTCTGGGTCCAGCAACTTGGCTGTTTTTTCAAAACTGGCTTGTCGGGACAGGGTGGGGGCTCACCAGGTGCATCATTTGCATTGTCAGCCACCTCCCTCACTAGCCCAGAGCCGCCGAGGATGGAGACCACATTTGCTTTGCTCTGCTCTGTCCCAGCACCCAACACAGGGCTTGGCACCCAGCAGGAGCTCAGTGAGGAGCAGGGCAGGGAGCCTGGCCTCGCCCTTTTCTGCACTGGCTCAGAAGGGGTGGGGGGGATTTCCTCGGGCTGGGCTGCTGGGAAGCTATGGGTGCGAGGGGGCAGACAGGAGAGCCAGGCACCTTCATGTTCCAGGAGGGGAAGGGGGTTGGCACTGCGGCAGCAGTGCGTCGTTGCCCATAGAGAGCGCAGAGGTGGGTCTGCGGAGGAAGAGCGGGGAAGCCCAGGGTGTTTGCTCCCCACCCCTCCCCCGCCCCCTGGCCACCTCCCACTCCATGGATAAGTCCCCGAAGAGGTGTCCGGGGCTGGCTTTGAACTGGAGCTGCACCAACCCGGCAGGAAGCAGATCAGGGGGCCCTAGACTCTGGGGTGGGGGTCTTGGGAGTCCTTCCAGTGAAGACTTGTCACCTCCACACCGTCTCCTGATAAGACCACAGCTGCAGGTGCCCCCAGACTGCCATCTCCACCCTGGTCCCAGCTGCCAGGACTTCTGCCGGGAGCCCTGCGGGCACCTCAAGGCCAAACTCAGCCCCAAGTCCTCATCTTTCTGCTTCCTAGTTGCCCCCACTGCAGTCCCAGAACCCCAGTGCACCCCCTTCTTGTCTGCCAGCCTCTCCTCTCCCCATCGATCCTGTGATTTCTCTAACACCCCGTCTCCAGCATGTGCCTCCTCCTCTCTCCACCACCAGCCTGGTCCTGGCTCCCTGAACATGTCTAAATCTCACTGTCATGCCTCCTGCTGCTCACAGACCTCCATGCCTCCTTCCTGTCCTAGTGCCTGTGGCGTCAATTCCAAACTCCTCATCGCAGCCAGCCAGGCCCCTGCTTTCAGACCCAGCTTTGCCAGCTCTCCTCTGCATTTGCTCTGTGCTCAGCTGGCCCCCAACACGTTCAGGCACCCTGACCTCCTGATCCCTGTGTTTCCCCCTCCAGGCTCCTCCCGCCTCCCAGCCCCCTCCTCCTTGACTCCCCATCCAGACTGAGCGGCGGGGCTTCCATAGGACTGTAGGTAGCTCACAGAGGGTCATTTCTGGAGTCTGCACCCGGAGTCACCTTGGATCGCCCCCGTCCCCTACAGCGACAACTGCCTTGAGATCGGGGTTCCCATGACCATCTGCTGTGACAGGTCGGGGGAGCAGGGGCTTTAATAAGGATTTTGTGCTACAGTATGAGTTGATCCCCAACTAGGAACATTTTCTCTGGGGCAGTGAGGCCCTAGGAACCTGCGAATGGCATACATTCCCTGCAGTGGCTCATAGGAAGGGACAAAGGGCCAAGGGCCACGGGCAAGATGGCACAGACTCAGGGAGATGCAGGGACCTCATCTGCTTTTCTTTTTCAAGTTTTTCAGGGTGACAGTCACAGCCCCTCAGTCAATGCATGTAACACACATGGATGGAAAGTTCCCTAGGACAGGGGTGTCTGGAGGGCAGGGAAACTGCAGGAAAAAGGCAGGGGTGGGGTCCCGGCATTTACTGTCTGTCTACAAAACAAGTTCACGGCTCGTGAGTGGCAGAGCTGGGGCCTCAGTGCCTTCACTGCCCACCAGTGCTGATGTGACTTGTTCCCACTCTCTCAAGGGATGGGGAAGTACTTGAGAGTTAAGCAAAATGAGTTCCAACCCCTGCCCCGCGGCCTGTGTGACCTTCGGGCTGCATCTCAGCACCCCCCTCTGCACAATAGACTGACTTAATTTGGCCCACCTCCCAGTCCGCCGGGGAGACTTCCCGGGAGACAGGACAGCGCGGGGCCTGTCGGCGCTGCTGTCCCAGAGCAGATGCACCAGCAGATTTCTCCTTCCTTCCTCTCCCTCGTTTTCCCTTTTCCTAGTTGGTTTTCTTTCTTCACAGCTCTTCTCTCTTTGTCCCTGTCCTCCACTGCCTCTCCCCACCCTCCCCACCAGGCCTGAGACCCCCAGTGCCCACGGAGTCCCTTTTCCACGCCGAGGAAAGGGTCACAGTCCACGGCCAGAGTGGGAGGCCCTGGGCTCGGTCAGCCTCACTCCCTGCTTCCTGGGGCGTCCCCAAGGGCTGGGCTCCGCTGGCTCAGGGAGGGGCCAAGTTCTCTGAGGGAGGGGGTTGGGCAGGTGGGGCCAGGGAGCCGGTGGAGGAGGGCGGACCAGGGACCAGACAGGTCAGGTGGCTCCGGGGTTGCAAGGTGGGTACTGGTGGTGGCTTGGGGGCCCTTGTCCAGGGGGGTGGCTGCAGCCCTGTGACTCTTCTAAGGACAGGGACTAGGGGGCATGGCTCTGGTGCACACGGGCTGTGGCAGGTCTGAGTCAAAACACCTAAGGCCGACCCTGGCCGGTCATGTGGAGGGCTGCCCAGTCATCGCCTTATGCTGGCCTGGGTCACCCAAGCGGGCTGGGCGCGGCCCAGTCAGCCGTGAGTCAGGCCCCAGCAGCCTTGCCACGCAGCACAGGGCAGGGGTGCCGGGCACACAGACGCCCCCTTCCCCACCCCCAGCCCCTGGTTCTCCCCTTGGCCACCCCAAAGCCCCTGGCCCACCTGTGTCAGGTGCACTCTGGCCAGGAACCTGGATTACTCTGCCTCTGTTGCCCCCAGCCCTTCAGTGGGGGTAGGGGGGTGGAAGTGGGGGGAGTCTCAGGGCCACCCGGCCCTGGACAGGAAGTCAAGTCGGAGGCGGGGTGAGGAGCCGTCTCTAGAGAAGATTCAGCAGGAGACAGAAGCAGAGGGGGCCTGGCCCCACGTCGATGGTGTCCCACTGAAGACTCAGCAAATACCCTGAGAGACACTGAAAGGTCCTGTGCAGCGCAGACCACGGTAGGCTTCCTCGAATTCATCCCCAGCACAGGCAAACATCACCCCTTCCCTCGTGTGTCTGGGGCATCTGGTGGCCACCTTGTGTCTCCAGGCCTCGGGCTCCCCTTCTGCATGATGGGCATGGTCAGAAGTGCCCTGCACATCCCTTTAATGCTGTGGAGGTGAAGAGTGCAGACCAGATGTGAAAGTGTCATGCAGACACCCGAGGGGTTAAAGATCATGGAAGAGTTAAAGGGCAGAGGAGAGAGCCCTGGATGCGGAGGCTGGAATCCTGGCTTTGTGAGGCTGGAATCCTGGCTTTGTGTCATCCCAAAGGGGTTGCCCCTCCAAAGGCCTTGATTCCTGGATTCCAAAGGGACCCTCAAGTTCCCTTTCCCTGGAGCAGTGGAGGGTCTGAGCCCATGGCTGCCTACCTTTCCCTCAGATGAAGACCTGGCAGGCAGAGGGTCCCTGTCCCCCAAGAAGGGGCTGTGGTGGGTCATGGGGTGGCCCTTGCCTGCTGCTGCTTTGGGGAGAAGAGAAGAAATCTTTGCTACAGTGAAG